TGAGGCTCCGTCTCAAAAAAAAAAAAAAAAAAAACACCATCAGAAGTCCTTTGGCTTATCCCTCAAATCTCCTTCATAAAATTGTGGCTAAATATTTTTCATAGACATCATGTTGTGCACACTGCATATTATTATAGGTTAACACATTTATTAGAAAGGGCCACTGACTCTGTCAAACTTCAGGCAGTTCACAGGATTGCATACTGGGAAATTATCTGCAATAGATTTCATTTTCCACTATGTGGTTTCCTTAGGCACTCTGTTACCCAGATGTAAGGGAAGGAGTATCCTCTGTTCCTGGAAACTGAAGTTCATCTTAATTTTCTTTTCTTTCCAATATCACAGATCAAGGAAATGCTTGAAGACCACATGGATGAAAGGTGTCTTGCTGGAGACAAATGTTTTGTTTGTTTTTATCTGCAAAAAAATGAATAAATCCTTTTTTCTGCTCAATCTCCACTGTTTCTTCATCCATTCAATAAACATTTCCCTGTATTCCCAATAGATTCCTGAGATACAAATCAATAGCAATCAAGGGCCAAAAGTCTTCTAAATATGAAAAAAGTTACAGTGATGTTGGTTTGAGTAGGCTTTGTGTAGGGGTTGCAGGAAAAAAAGAAGAAAGTATGGGATTATGTATCAGGAGAGTGTAAACTGTGTTTGGTTATGGCAATACCTTAAGAAAAAGCCCAAAGAGTGGATTTTTATGGAAAAAATAAAATACTGCTTTGACCGGAAAAGACTTTACACATTAAAAAGAAGTAATGAAATTCAAGGTTGAATAGGTTATACTGGAAGGCAGCATAATCGACTGGCACGTGGCGTGAACCGAGAGTTATGTGTCCTAATCTGACACTGACTGATAAGAGTGATCAGTCAGTTAAACCTTGACTCTCAGATTCAGTATGGACAATGGACCAAAAATGTTGAGAGGGTGGTGCATGCAAAAGGAGATTTTCTCAGCAGAAAGAATATATATGACTCAAAATCCAAATAGTTGTGTCTATGGGCACTTTAAGCCAGGATGAAAGGACAGGTACAAAGTTAAGGAGGTACAGAATCTCCCCCACGTTTCTGATTGCTTGACAGTTACAATTAAAAACAGGCGTAATAGGCTTGGCACCCATAGCCCAGTGATTGGGGCACCAGCCACATATACTGGTGCTGGAGGGTTCAAACCCAGCCGGGGCCTGCTAAACAACAACTACAAAAAGAAAAAAAAAAATAGCCAGTCATGGTGCCACCTGTGGCTCAAAGGTCCCATATGCTGGAGGTGGCGGGTTCAAACCCAGTCCCAGCCAAAAAAAACACAATAAATAAATAAATAAGTTAACAAAAAACAGCCAGAGGTTGTGGTGGGCACCTATAGTCCCAATTACTTGGGAGGCTGAGGCAAGAGAATTGTTTGAGCCCAAGAGTTTGAGGTTGTAGTGAGTTGTGATACCACAGCACTCTACTGAAGGAAAACATTCAACTGTAAACCTCCCACCTGAAAATGGAAACTCTATTCCTAAATGTACGGGGCAAATTAGGAACCTGACTGGGGGATTCAGTGGACAATAGATAAACTATTTTCATTCATTAATTCAACAGAAAGCTCTGAAGTATAATGTCTTCTTGGAAAGGAAAGAATGTTTATTCATTCTACAAATACAGACAGTGCCTCAAACTTATGATGGACCCAAAACTCACATAAGCTTTCAGATTGCCTAGAAGTCAAGTAGGAATACCTGTCTCTATTACCTAGCTATGACAATGTTAATCACCTAGATCTCTTCAGTAAATAGATTCAAGGATACCTATAGTACCTCTCTTTATTAAGGTTTTTCCTTGTATAAAAAAAATTGTCTTCATCCATGTAGACAATAAGGTTGTAGAGTGTAAAGCTCTAACTAGTCTGTATCCAAGATTCTCCATCATCGCTGAAGAATAAATAATTCCCTTTAATAATACTTTATCATAGAACTTTTCTTCTTTGCTTCTAAAGGAAAAGTTTCCTGGTCTTTAAAATCCCATTTTTCTAGAGAAAAAAGATTCATAATCCAATAACACTTTTCAAAAGCTTTACTTAGACTAGAACCAGTGATTCTGGTTATAAGTACAAAATCTGAAGGCTCTTAGATGAAAAGAGAAAATGACATTCACAGTTTGATCCATCATCAATAGACAATAAGTTAAATGTGTTTCCTAAAGGCAGGCAATATTAATTAAGCAAAATTCTATTCAAACAACTACAGGGAATATAAAAACAGATGTCTCTTACCTAAAGAACTTTTATAGTATACTTGGGAATAAAGTCTTCACAGACTTTACAGTCTTGAAGAAAAGTGTAATCATCACTCCAAAGTATATAAATTATGAAGAAGTGACATATACTAGAGATTCTAAAATCTAATTAGTATCCTTTGTGAAATTTGGTTTAAAATGCAGATTATCAGGTCCCATCCTCAAAGATTTAATTTATTATTTCTGAGGCTGTACTCAGGCAATCTTTTTTTAAATAAATTTGAGGTGGTTCTGCTATGCAGTCATTTTTCAGAACCACTCATAAAGGTATCTATTTCCAGGAATGAAAAGACTACTGAGGACAAGATAGTACTTAGGAAAGCTACATAAAGATGCCATGATTAAAGCTTGACCTTAACAGAGGGCAGGACTCAATCATACTGAAGCCTATTTCTTTCCTTTCTCATATCTATAGTTACTCAGGGAGCTGTTCCAATTCTGACATGGTGATCACAGACATAAAGGTATCTGGTTCCATTCCAAAAAACTGACAGTTGAAAGACTATACCAATAGCAACCTAAAAGTGTCAACCTCTATCAAAGCAACAATGATCCTAATCTAAGGAAATTGAATTTATGTGTTAACAAATGTATATTTAGCATTGTGCTGGGTGCCAATGTAAGAAATATAAGAAAAGTGTCTGAACTAATTGACCCTACATTCTAGATAAGAATATTTTTAAAAGGGTAACCAAGCCAAGAAGCAGCAACCCAAATGTTCATCAACCCCATGAATGGATAAACAAACTGTGGTATATGTATACCATAGAATACTATTCATCCATAAAAAAGGATGGAGACTTTACTTCTTTTGTCTTTACCTGGATGGATTTTAAGAGCATACTCCTAAGTAAAGTATCAAAAGAATGGAAAAGCAAGTATCCAATGTACTCCATACTAAAATGAAACGACTAGATGAACAAGTGCATTCCCACACAAGAGAAAAACACAACTACATTCAAATGGAGGGGGGGAGCAAGGGAGGAGAGAGGAGGAAGGAGAGGAGTATGGTGCACTACCACCTAACAGGTACAATGTAGAGGTATATGGCACACCTACTAGGTGAAGGGCTCGACCACAACTTGAACTTTACTTAACAAATGCAAACAAGTATAGCATTTAGCATTCTTTGTACCCTTGTATCAATCTGAAATAAGAAAAATAAATACATAATAAAATTATGCTGTTATGAAAAAGGTAATCAAATTGTCAAATAATATTTCAGAGCAAGATATAATTAAGTACCAAACTGTTAGTATTGTCTTTAAGTAGTATGAACATTTAGAGAAAGCTGAGATCATTATCAGTTAGCGTAGAGACAGAATGCCTTCATAGATAACAGAAATAGCTCCAACCTAAGGATACTTCTCCATTACTTTCAAGCAAAAGTCAAAGACATTCATGACATAGTCAGATAAACATTCAATCTTTTATCCAATGTATTTATAATTTTCTCTATAGATTTCCATCTTATTGGAAAAATGTCTTCAAATTCACTTGAGGGACTTTAATAAAAGTTTTTGGATTTATGTGGTACCAAGTGTTAAGTTTAGCATCTTTTTTTATATAGACTTCAATCTCATAGTCTATTTGTCTCTTTGTCCTGCCAAAGGCTTCGTTTATTCAGCAACACTGGTGATTTCTCTCATTTTTCTCAGCTTAAAAGATCTAGCCATGTAAGCAACAATAATGTCTTGATTTAGGTGAGGGCGCTGACAGCCTTGCTAGACACACCCAGGTGGATAGTGCTTCTAGGTGAGTCTCTCCACCTGGGAAGCTCATGGTAAGAGAAAAGCAGCCTTGTGGAAAAGCACATCCTCTCTGCTTACATTAGATAATATTTTAAATTCTTTTTCCTTAACTCCCTGGGACTCGGAGTGTCAAAGACAAGAGGGCTTAAGGGGAAGCCAGTGGGTATGGATTTTTTATATAATAATAAAATGAGAATATATTTCTATTTACTTCATGTAAACATTCTTTTCCATAAATAAGCCAGGCTGAAAGTAGTAATTAAGGATAGAAAGTGTCCCCAGGGTTGGTCAGTGATTAAATCAACCTTTCCGGTTCGGTGCCTGTGGCTCAAGTGGCTAAGGCGCCAGCACATACACCTGAGATGGCAGGTTCAAATCCAGCCTGGTCCTGCCAAACAACAATGATGGCTGCAACCAAAAAATAGCAGGCATTGTGGCGGGCACCTGTGATCCCAGCTACTTGGGAGG